TATATATATATATATATATATATATATATATATATATATATATATATATATATATTTGGGCTGGGGTCTGCGGTGTACATACACCTCAGCGTGTATTATAAAAAAAGAAAGAAGATGTAAAAAAATAAAAAAAAAGAAAAATGTTGTTTTTGTATAAATTGAAATAATTTATTAAATTGTATTTCTTTTTATTTTATTTTATTTTATTTGTTTTATTTGTTTTATTTATTTTATTTTATTTTATTTATTTTATTTATTTTATTTTTTTTTATTTATTTTATTTTTCTTTTTTTTATTTCGCTAGAAACGAACGCACACCAGTGGGAACAAAACTTGGCTGCTGTTGCTGCTGTTGCTGCTGCTGCTGCTGCTGCTGCTGCTGCTGCTGCTGCTGCTGCTGCTGCTGCAGCTGCCCTGCATTTATCCTGAGAAATAAAGAGCAACAAAAGAATGTAAAAAGCAACACACAAACAAATAAAAAACAAAAAAAACAAAAAAACAAATAAACAAAAACAAATAAACAATAAATAAATGAGTAATAAACAATAAAACAATAACATAGACAGAAGAAAGAGAGAAACAAAAAAGAGAAAAACAAAGAAAAAGAGAGAAAGAGACAGAACAGAAAGGAGACAGACAACGACAAAACAAACAAACAAAAAAAAAACACAAAACCCATTCGTTTTTGTTGCAGCAGCAAAGGAGCTGTATATACACTCTCAGGTGTATACGCAGCTCCAGCTGTATATACAGCTCCAGGTGTATGCTCAGCTGCATGTACACTGCGCTTCACCCCATATTCAGAGCTCAAAACAAACTCGCTAGCTAGCTAGCTAGCTAGCTAGCTAACACCCAGCTAGCTGGCTAGCTAGCTAACCCACAACTAGCTAGCTGGCTAGCTAGCCCCCAGCTAGCTAGCTAGCTAGCTAGCCCCCAGCCAGCTAGCTGGCTAGCTATCCCCCAGCTAGCTAGCTAGCTAGCCAGCCCCTCCTAGCTAGCTAGCTAGCTAGCTAAGCCCCAGCTATCTATCTAGCTAGCTAGCTAGCTAGCTAGCCGCTC